TGTTAGATTTTGATTTTCCTAATACAACTCAGCTGAATGTATTGGTTTTTACATCGATGTGTGTTATCTTTTTTTTTTTTGGTCTTAATGACCACAGTCGGTTATTGGAGCAAAAAAAAATATGATTACCTTTAACACTGATATTGTTTTATGGTGGTTAAAATGTATAACTCGTTCGTAAATTAGGTAGTAAAAAAAAAAAAATATAAGAAAATTACCAATACTTTATTTTTTTTTTAATACTGAGAAAAAACTGGACAAGACACTAGTTTTCAACTAAATCGGTTTATTTTATGAAAAATTTTAATCTGGATGCTGAGGAAACAGTTTCTCTGGTATCCACTAATCTAACTTTTTAATGAAAATTTTTTGATAATAGTTTTAAAATGAATAAAAAAAATTGTGAAATGAAAATATGAGGTTAATTCATCAGAAAAAGCGCACCTTATAGCTAMAAAACAGCAAAGCGAGTTATTGTGGTTTATTTTTTATTTCCATTCAGACCTACCAAGAATTTTAATATTGAAACATTTAATTAACAATTAAAATTTGTACAACGCTAGTACGTGACTTTTATGTTTTTACGAGTGTCATGTTATAGTGTTATACCCAGGTATATTATAAGTAGTAATAGCAAGTTATGTTTCGATTTAATAATAATGTATTATAATATCATGTTATATCATATATATTAAATATTTAATTTAAGCTATTCATATTTTGTAAGCCCAATGGCCTATGCTGCCGAGGGCTCTTTTCTAATAAAAAAAAAATATATCATATATAAATATATAATACGACCGTATATACCTTAATCTCTACCAATTATTGGGCTTGTAAAAAAATAATAATATCGTTTTCTGCTTATTATATTGATATTATTATCTAAAGTATAATATTTCCTAATAAAGATAAGACGACAATAAATTGTCATAAAATATGATATGATAAAAAAAAATTCATTTTTGCGTAGCCAGGTGTTTCTATATTCAGTTTACTACATATTATTATTTTCATRATGTCGCCGCAAGTCATCGAGTACTTGAATTATTATATAATATGAACGTTTGTAATCACAAAACGACAATAATAAATAATATTTACAATTCTATTATGATGTGTTAGATACGCCGCCATTGTGTGTAAATATAAGATATATCATTAGGTACGCCTGTTGGATGTGTCAAATTGTTTTAAAATTTTAGCGCAGACGATTTTCGATTTATTTTGTTTCACCGCAGTGAACAATCAATTGAAAATGAAACGATTTATTGTGATGCGATCGAATAATTTACCCAATGATCCGTGAAATCAAAATCTTTTTATCCATCATAGAAATTTGTCCTTAAAGGTAGGTAAATATCTGCGAATATATAATTATAATATTTATTATATATTATATTATGACGAGGACGCCACATCCGCATGTGTTAACTCTGTCTTATAACGCGTAATATAGAAAATGTTACGCTCAGTAGTTCCCGTTTAGCTCCGTTTAGAGTTTAAAATTTAGAGTGAATTGAAGGTAAAATTATTATCTAGGTTATCACATGGGATTGTTTATTATATTTTAATTTCAAAGCGAGTTTTGAAAATTTTAAGATAAATGAAATTTACGATTTTAAAAATACTCATAACTCGGTCTGAAATAAAAATATGATAAAAAGCCCATGTGATAGCCTAGATAATTATGTTACCTTTAATTTTTATTAGCGGTCAATTCGCTCTAATTTTTAAATTAACGGAGCCAAATTCTAAGCGTAAAATTTACTATGTCACACACTTGTAAGCCGTCTTACAACACATGCTGGTAAGACAACACATACTGCATGTGGCATCCTCTTATATGAGTCTATTAAATATTGTGAGAAAAAATCTGTGGTATTTTCACATACGCGAGCCTAATCGCTCGCAAACTGAAAATGTCTAAGACAAAATAATAATTCTAGAACGTTGAAAATCCGTATAATATATAACGTGCTCGTGATCTTACCGGGGACCATATAATATCGCTTTTGAGGTTTGCTTCAGACACTTTTAATTAATAATATATCGAGCGCGGTGTTATTTTAATCCCAAGCTGCTATCGTATTTTTATGAATCAATAAACTGAAAGTTCTATTCTTGAAGGGTTGATGAGACGAGATTAAAATAGATATAATAGGTATAGGTACCTATCGTAGACTTATATACTCTTTCATCGGAGAGTTAATGAAATTCTTCAAAGTTTTGGTCCATTATGCTCGATTATATATATCTAGATAATAATATTACATGTACATTGTACATACTACATAATAGGTTAGGTTATATGTTGCATCTAAAACTCCGAGACTATGACCGGATCYCCGAGCTTTATGCAATAATGTATTAGGTACAATGTTATCTTATTATTCATACATAAKAGTTTAATAATAAAATAGCCAAAATAATATATATATATTATTAAATGGAACACATAGTTATTTTGAAATTTTACCATTTATAAATTAAGTACTAGCCGAACCGTTCTAAATCGTACGATACATCCGCGTACGTGTTGTATCCTTCTCATACAACGTATATGCTATATACCAAATTTCTCGTTGAAAATAATCCATTTTATTCTGTTTTTCATAAAATTAGAGTGAATTTACCTACCTATTATTATAAATTGAGAGCATCTCAAAGGATTTTATTGATTTTTTCGTAACTTTCAAAATGTAAATGACTCGTTTTATATTTAAAATAACAAAAAAAAAAAAAAGCCTCTTAGGTAATGATTTAACCTTTAAACTTTATATCGCGTCAATTCGTCCTGTTTCTAAAAATAACCGAATAAAATGGTTTATTATCGCGAATGTAAAATCGTCGTAATACTGTGAGTCTGTGAGATGGATACAASAACGGTTAGAGCTTAATACACGTCATAAACAGAGAAACGCAGCGATTCGAACACGGCCAAGATGGGCGGCAATCGATTGCACCTGCAAACAGCGATGGCACTKAAATAGGTACATCGTTTTTCAGCAATCGAGCGGACATTTACAGCAATCGAATTGTGCATATASTATAGAGAACACTAAGGAGCAAATGGTGTGAAAAATAGTGTTTTTATCACAATGTACGYCGTTGTCGTCGTCGTCATCGTCGTGCGCTTTTATGTAGTAGCCTCGCAGGCTGTGTATAATCTTCGCTGCAGTCGTAATAATAATGAACAACACTATCCAACTATCTAGTGCGGAACTTAAATACAGGTAGAATCGGCGGTGTTCGGTGTTTTACGATGGTACATACATATATGGCATATATATATTATATATATTATTATATATAGCTGTACTTCCCGTGGATACCTGCAAAAGGGTTGTGTAAAATCCAATAACAGCAATAATGTGTTGATATTGAAAATTACGATGACGGAAAATACTATAACAATATTAAACATACAATGCGATTAAAAAATCGTCTCTAATAGTCGGCAATGTAATGTTGTTCTATAGCAGATTTTTTGACAATGTAACGAACATAGTATACATGGTGATACCAATGGCCAATCTAACCAAGCATGCTCACCCCCCATTTTTTCTTTTAATAATGAATTTATACAAATTCTAATTTTTGGAATATACTCTTAAGGCTGGAATACAAACTTTTGTTTTTCAAATGAGACCCCATTTTTTAYTATAAATTATTTAGTAGATTTTTTTTTAATTTGATGTATCTAATTAAAAATTCAAACGAATAGTTTCTTAATTATTGAATCGTTTGTATTAAGGATAATAGTCTTTAAATATCGTTTTACAAAAGTATAAAATACACGTACTATTGGAACTAGTATTTATGATACTTGATAGATTAATATCAATGACTAATATTTTCAAAACCGCCATGGACCGTATATGTTATAAAACTAAACCATGGACTTTTTATTCTTAGAACACCAAGTCAAATAACTCAAAAACTACTCATTACAATATTGTTTTCAATACATCAAAGTTCTCAAAAAAATTATCCGCAAAGTAATTTAGAATAAAAATTTGGGGTTCTCATTTGAAAAACAAAAGTTTGTATCGCCACAGGACACTCCTCAAGTGGTACGAAAAATCTCAAGAATTTGAAAATATGGCCTTTGAGTATATTTAAAGATTCCAAAAATCAGATTTTGAATAATTTCATTATTAAAGAAAAAAATGGGATGAGTATGCTTGGTGAATCACTCTGTATAATGTATATATTATATTATTATATATAATACTCATTCATATTTAAGGTAGGTATGCAATCTTATTGAACGTTGTATTAAGCGTATACATATTACATACTGTTAGGAACATAATATTATTCATTAAAATTTAATTTTGATTTTTTGGTTAATTTATCTTTTCAAGATAAAGAGTTATTACGTAACAATTTTTAAATTTGAATTTTATCTTTGCTATTCCGGATGTACTGGCGCAGCTGCATTCTATGAATACCAACCTAATTCTTGAGCACGTACCTAAATAGATATATTACGATAAGGTCAGATGACCAAGATTACAGAAGAAACACGTGGTAAACGACACATAGACATAAGTTAGAATAAAATCTCTATGTATTAATATTTAATATATATAGGCCGAATAGGCTTTTTTACACAATTAAATATTACACCTTATTTAATATATATTTATTACATTCATAATAATATGTTGAAATTACTAAACTGGTAAACTGTACAAAGCATTTATATGAAACCCATATTTAACGTAATATTTATATGTGTAACCATGGCACGGATGACTGGCTAGGGACGAATAGGGACATCGAGTGGTATATAGGTAAAACTATTCATTGTCTGTTTGAATATGCATAATATATTTTTTTTAATGTAATTTGTAGTCCATTTAATACAATTACTTATTTACTTAGGAAATCTTCCGGGTGATAAGTAAAAATCAAGACTTTTATATTGAATACAATTGCGTGTTTTAATAACTCAAAATTAATTGTCATTATTTTCAACTGATTTAAACTAATATTGGTGTATGCATATTTATTCGTACGGTATAATATCAATAATAATTTGTAAATAATAACACAGTTTTTTTTTTTAAACAAAATAAATATTTATAAATAGGAACACACGTGCACTCGTATGCAGCTAATCGACTATTTCATATAATACGCCCAGATGACGGAATCTTTGCAGTGTTACAGTAACTGTAGAACAGCTTAGCAAGTAAATATTAATGTGAATCGATTGACGTGGATCTCAACGGTATATTATGAAGTATAGGCGCAAAATAAATATTTTATTTAAATCAGATTTCGTCGAATGCCATTTTATATTGTTTGAATTTCGTTCGTTCGTGTGTAATAGCGGACTATAGTATTTGTCGTAGAATTAAATTCGAGCTTAAGCAATATTTTCGAAAGGATATTCTGGATGATCCGTAATACTGAAAAAATAAAAACATTAACAATAATATCATATGATTTACTGCGTCAAGCTAAAAATATATATTTATATATATATTATAGACGTAAATAAATTAAATATTTATATTAAAGTCAATAAAAAAATATTWAAGGTATATACAACTTGCGATCAATGCGTACTATAATAATATGTTTGTGTGAACTTGATGGAAATTTGCATCGCAAAACAAGATAAAAAAAAAATCAGATAATCCTTACATCAGGCCCTTCGGCGCTGGACAAAAGGTTTTCAAACAACGTGAAGTMCCGTTGAAGTTTGTTTGCAAATATTTCGAAAAGTTTGGAGTGCACCATCTGGTATTATGGAATTTAATCTATGATAATAAAATACAACTTACCCAGTAAAGAACAATAGCCGTATGATGCGGCCTCCTTCTCCGGCGTCCTGGCYAATCAGTGCCTTCATGTCTTGTTCGTCCAATTCAAAATCGAAAATCTGTCGGAAAAACAAAAKCAATTACAATGATGAGTAGGTACAATTATGTWGTTATAATATATTATAATATGACAACGTTAATATAAATCATCTAATTTTTCTAAACAACGCGAAATATCATAAGAATTAAATATTTTGATAATTATTACTATATTATATGACAATATAAAATGTATTAAAAGTGTACGCACCTGTATGTTTAACGCCAACCGTTGTGGATTCGTACTTTTTGGTATGACTACGATGCCTTTTTGGACAATAAACCGCAACAAAACTTGGGCCGCAGTCTTTCCGTGTTTTTCTGCGATTCTCAACACTACGTCGTTTTCCATCATTTCCGGCAAATCTTTGCTATATCAACATATATACGCGCCCATTTAATAGGTAATTAATAACATATCGTTATCGTATTCTTAGATAACGTCTCAAAATGTAATTTTACTGACATTATAAATTATAATTATAATTTTATTATTACGTCCAATTCAACCCCATGACTTCTCGGCCGCCTCTCGCGCCCAAACACGAGTATGCGGTCACAACGATCCCGTTGCTCTTGCAAAATTCTACAAGCTCGGGTTGTTGGAGGTACAGGTGATTTTCCACTTGTAAATTATCGGGCTTGATCTTGCAGTTGTCCAGCACCTTCTGTATCTGTTTAATGTTGAAGTTCGACAAGCCGATCGCTTTTGCTCGGCCGCAAGCCACCTGTTTCTCCATCATCTATACAACAAATCACACACACACATATATATATATATATATATATATATACTGAATAATTTTGAATATAGGTCACCCCCAGTGGTGTAATTGTGGGGGGGGGGTTGATTCACCCCAGAGCCTTATATA